ACGGTCTTTATCGCCCCATGACCACTGTGACTTCAATCAGCCAATTTAATTACCTTACAAAATTGTCAGCAGAAGCAGCAAAGAAAAACAGGAAGGGTTGTGACGTTATCAAATTGAAATCTTCCTCTGTGCTGTTTAATCTAGACCAGTCAATAACAATGCTTCTCACCTCCTTGCTGCCTTCCCGAGGCTCTTAACCTTACTCTTCTTTCAAAGATTCCTGTTGTTGTTTGTAAGACTGATTTTGAACTCATCTTCGTGAGGACGTTAACAGATATTGAAAGATTCTTCTCCTTGGCAGTAAATTTTTCATTGGCTCTGAATGCTGGACTTGCCAAGACACAGACCCCGAGGGCTGCCATGAGAGTTTGGCTCGCAGATTTTCATCACACTCTTGATCTGAAGGCAGACTGCCTTCCCCACTCAAACAAGATAAGTACAATTTCTTGTTTCTCTCAAATAGAGGCGAAAACCTTACCTTCTCCCACTAAAAGGATGTCAATGCAAAATCCAAAGGAAAGAAAGTACATCTCCAGGAGGTTTAATGCAACTTAAGAAAACTCCATTCGATTACCCAGCAGGTATTTTTCATTTGACCTCTTGTCTCACACATCTGCACAGAGCTAGCTCCCACTGCTGTGCCATGACTTCACTGGCTTTAACTGCTACAATTTTAAAATGGTCTCCTGAATCCCAGAACCATGTGTTTTGACACCCAATGTCACCTCCACAGGCAGTGGATGCAATGATCCAGCCTCTTCACTGGTTTTACCACACTCAAGCTCATAAAAACAATTATATGGAGATAAACTCAATCTGGTTGAGACAAAAGAGCTCAGCTAAGAAGTGCCATGTCAGATGAAACCCATGCTAAATCTTCACAGAGGAAGAGTCAAACGTCTAGCAATTTCCCTCTGGGGGTTCCCACAAAGAAATTGAAAAATGAGGGGGATTTTTTCTAAATCACAAAGAGTACATTATTTTATAATGCTTGATTTGCTATGATTATTATTTTATGTAGGGCAACAGGAAAGTGCTGGCCTTCATGAGGACTTGGCGTAGCATTAAAAAAAAATAGTCACTAGTAAGAAATGCTACTGGTGAAAGTTCAAAACTCTTCCTTTTTCCTTTGAAAAGTTTTTCCTATCTCTCTAGCCTTTCTTTTGCTTTTAAGCTGGAAGAAGCCACATGCACGCACACACCCTTCCTTTGTAGCTCATTGTGACACAAAACATTCAGCTCCCTCTCTCATCTGCTTCAAGTCAGGCAACTCCAAAGCACCAAAAAGTCAAAACTACAGGTATGTGCCACTACTTGTCTTTACCCTTCTTGAATGTCCTGAAGAAAATAAAGCATCACACAAAGTGGGTTAAAACTTATCAGGCAAGTGAGCACCCTGCAGTGTAGGTCTTTAGTCTTTCACCACATTTCCAGGAATAATGAGAGCAAATACAGTGGACAAACCTCTTTCACCTCCCTGTCACAGGTCTCTCTTCACACCTTTGCTGTAGGAAAGAGGAGCTGCTCACAGCAGTAGAGACAAGGCCGGATAGGAGCAGTTTAAATAAAAAAGGCATTTTAGAGCGCTCCAGGCTTCAAAGTGCTGACAACCCAGCTCCATGTAGTGGTAGTAGGTGGGGAAAAAATGGGGTTTAAATAGCCCAGGCTCTTACTGCCTTGGGCAAGACAAGGGGTGGGTTTCTGAAAACACAGGTGAGCAATTACAGGTGTTTGACAGCTCTTAATGGGCTTGCTAATTCAGCATTTCGGGGACAAGGTATTGAGATGCCTTTAGGGGGTAAAGGCAGACCGAGAGAAGAGGCCCAGTGTACTCTGCCCCACGTCGTGGCCAGAGGGGCCGATCGGCTGGGCTCTGGATCCGCCGAGCTCCCCGGAATTTCTTGGGAGCCGCTGCCGTGGGTCTGAGTATACACAGGAGCAGTGAATCGGAAAGCTGCGAAATGTGATCCCCGATAACGTAAAAGATGTGCCGGCGGTCACGTACTTTGGCTTTTGTTCGGTGCCAAGTGATAAGGAAAAGGTTTCCATCACACTTAGCTGAGCGGAGAGAAAAATACTGGCTGCTGCTTTTCTCCCTCCTCAAGGTGGGACTCATCCTTTTATCCGCATCAATGATTTAGGGCTGGTCCCACCTGACACCCTCGAGTGCCGTAGAGACAAATCTCACCTCCAGCACTCCCTGGGCTCGCTTGTGGGAAGCTGCTCAGAAAGGGCAAGGGAGGGAGCTTGGTGGCACGGCCCATGGAGCAACGTGGCACTCGGGAAGGGCGCCTGGTGTGATGCCCAGCTCCGGCAGCAGCAACAGGCAGGTGTCCAGATGCCTCACAAGCGTCGCTGGGGAGGGAGCGGTGCCGTGGCACCAGCCTCTCTCCGTGTTTGCTCCATAAGGTACAGACAGAAACAACCTCCCGAATCTGACAAATAGCCCAGGCCGTCCGACTTCCCTGTGCGGTTGCTGAAAGGTAGCTTGAGAGAGAGAGGGAGGGAGAGAAAGGACATGCCGGCTAGTCCCAACAATGAGAGGAGCCGTGGGAAGGACAATGCGAATCCATGGTGGCTAATTTGCACAGGAGGAATGAGGGGGCTGCAGCTCTGGCAGGCTTCAAGCTCTCCCCTGTTGCCATAGCGCTGCTGGCTGAGGAAGGAGAGCGGGGGCTGGCAGGCTGCCTTCTGGAGGGAATCTCCTCAGCTCCCCCTTCTCCTCGGTTAGGGCTCCGCGGCATCCCGTCCTCCTGGCCGCAAGGACATCCCAAAGGGACTGATAGCACGGGAACCCAGAGGGGGCGGTGGGGAATTCCCCCTCAGAAATAACCAAAGCTTTTCCGCAGCTCAGTCCCTGCTCCCTCCCTCCACCCTGCTATGCCCTACGCAGAGACAGAGATGTCAGCCTTTGGAGAAGGCGTGGAAGTTCTCCCGTGGTCACAGACAGAGTGAGTTAGCCTGGACTAAGCTAAATCCAGACTCCTTTAAAACTGAGATGTGCAACAGGCCCGGATAAGCAAAGCAAAAGTCTTCCTGCTCTTTTCAAGTCTAACATTCTCCACAAAAAAATAAACTTATCAACTTCTCCCTACCTACTTTTAATGTTCAGTGATGGTTTGGCGACAATTCTTTTCAAAGACTGCTACAAACAGCTGAGTGAGCGCAACTCGTTGGCCAGCTGTGTGACCAGGAGGCAGCTGGGAAGGGAGGTTAGCCCAGTAAAACATCCACACACACCACCATATCACTGGGCAGCAGAGACGCGCTGCATCACCTTTCAGCCGCCCGGTTATTTATTGCTCTAATGGGGTTATTTATTGCCAGAGCGCTGCTCTGCAGGGCTGTCCCCAGGCTACACCGGACTGACACTTCAGAGGGAATGCCGCTCTAAAGAAGGAAAGTCCACCTCTCGCTAGTGCCGTGACCAGGAGGATGTTTGTTTACACTGCTGTACCTGAAAGTAACTCGGGCTCCTAGGGACAGACCCATGGAAAGACAGACAGCCGGCCAGTGCCATGTTACAGGCATCCTAGCACTAAACTCACGGCGATGATTATGGATCAGACTGATTGCAAAATAGACCCCATACGTGCCCGTTTAGCCATGTCCAAAGAAACAGGCATTCCTGAGGACGGTTGCTAAGAGCAACGTGCCATAAGCACCACCTTTAGACCAGATGGAAGCAGGAAAAAAAGTGCTGCCAGGAATTCAGAGATTGGTAACAGCCTGGTGACTTTTTAATCATTACTCACCTTCCCCTCCATATAAAACTGTGTGCGGGGGTGCTGAATTAAATTAAAATAGATACAAACCAAGGCATTATTCCCAGGCAAAGGCAAGAGATTTATGTGCCCCAAAGAAATGGATGCAGCGGCTGCCTCAGTTTATCGCGGACAGGGGGAATGCGGGAGATCTGCTCTTGCTCCGGCCACCCGCGCTGTCGGCAGGCACAGAGGATGCTGCTTGTATGGGGGAGCAATTTTCAGCCTGTCCCTTGCTGGCCGCCCCCCGCCGAGGCTCACCCGCTGTACCCGGGCGACCAGGACGATGCTGATGCGGGGCTCCCATCGTATCTCGCCCCGGACTAACACCGAAGGACATCCCCGGCAGCACAGACCCCTTCGGATCTGCTTTCCGAACTTTCCGTCCTGCTCTTCCTCCCTGCAAAACTTCTGTAGGGGATGCGGTGGCTGGAATTTGTCCCTTGCTTGCTTAGACACACGAACATGCGCCCTTGCACAGGCAGAGCTCCTCAGGTCAGTGCCCTGGTCCAGCTGGGATGGCCTTTAAACTGTAAACCCTCTCTACTCTTGAAATGCCATTCTGATCTGCTTGCCTTTTTTTTTTTTTTTTTCCCGGGAGCGGGAGGAACTCCTACAACTTTCCTCCCATAGAAAAGCTGTGCTTTCGAAAGGTATCGCAAAAGCTCTTCCCCGAGCACCGCTCAAGACATAAATCATCTCTTCTCTAACCCTAAACGCCACTCAAATGTCAAGCAAACAGACAGATACTTCAAAGGAAATCAGCCCAGAGGTCTCAAATCACAGCGTTACGCCCGCACGGGATCGGCTCGGGGGGATCAGAGACGGGCTGCCGAAACTCAACAACTACTTGACAGGTTTTCAACTGATCAATCACCGTATTAGCCATGCTTTCCCCTACCAGGGAAACAACAAAGCAAAACAATGGAAACAATTACGAGGAAGCCACACAAGCTGCGCAGAGCCTTAGGCAACCACGTTCGCCACTCTTTTTTCTATTGTTATTATAATTATCATCACCATCGTGCCGTTACTACGGCTACAATGAGCAGTAGCGACAGAAAAAAAAAAAAATCACACAGCAATTCATCCCTCCGGATGCAAAATAAAGAGGGACTTTGCTGCCCGACTCCGGCAGCATGTCCCAGCTCTCCCCCAGCATCCCCTTCTGAGTCAATCCTACGCACATCGCATTCAAGCTTAAACACACAATGAAAAAGTGTCGGGAAATCTTACCAAATCTTAATACATGTGTGGTTCCTTGAGAATATCCAATCCACAGTAAGCAAAGAAGGAGTCTAATGGTGCATCTGAAGACTGAATTAGTTACAATACGGGAAATAATCTTCATGATGTTTCTATGCACACACGCGCTGCCTTACTTCCCCCTTCTAAGCCGTCAGGTTTCCCGGTAGGGTGAGAATGAGGATACGCAAACTGTCGGCCCTCAGACACGATCACGGCATGGTCACAGAGAGAGCAGAGAGTCTACGCTTCCCAAACCCATTAGCAATCCCTGCATGTTCTTCATTCACTGCGCCAAGGAGCAACCTTCAACTGCAAGGAATGGTGGGACATCCATGTTAGTCGGGGGAGAATCCTTGAGAAATCCAAACACACACAGCGTCCAGCCGAGTAAACCTGGGAGGCGAGAAAGGAGGAAAATCAATAGGTAATCCAGCTCGAGAGATCGCTGAGGTACCGCCACATAGCGAGCGCCCGCGTTTCACTGGCGGAGCCTTTGCCGTGCTCCCATTCTACTGCACTGCTGCACAGCTTCTGACGCGAAGCCAAGATTAAGTGAGAGAAATTGAGATAGCTCTTCTCTGCTTAAGGCTGCCTGCCAGACAGCCTTCCCAATTTCTATTATGCAACCGATCTGATCGCACAGCTTTGTCGGAAGGGAAAAAAAACACCAAACCCAACTCGGTTATATTTACATGCTTCTTATTGTTATCAGTTATTCAGTTGTTCTGAACAATGGCTAAAGGGGCGGGGGGGGGACGGGGGGGGAGTGCTGCTGGAAGGGAGAAGGGAATCTGTTGTGTGACAATCAATTCCTGTATTTCAATAACTGACTGCTTGGGTCGAGATCACTTAGCTTTGGAGTTGTGAAAGAGAAGGCTGACAACAAAGTCATGCAGGTTATCACAGTAACGTTCAGGTTTGGGGGGGAAAAATTACAATCATTAACTGCTACTCATTTTAGTGCATGATGTAGGATAAATGCTGTGGCTTGTGTACTGACTGTCCCTAGGAACTTGCTCCGGACTCAGTGATAACGGAGCACCAGGCTGCTTTTGCAAGGTAACAGGAATCGGCAGCCCTGAAACAACCTTGTTGAATGCATAGACCTGTTTCACTAAACTTGCTTGAAATTGCAGTGTTGCTTAAAAGACAGTAACTAGGGGAATTACTAGTTTGCGATTTTCACTTTATTCTGCCACTCTCATTTTGCACTCTGCTTTCTTTTCACTCCAGTATTGTGGAAATGTTGCTGTTCCTCCCTATACTATGATCTACGTAGTTTGTCATTTTGCTATCCTCAGTGAGAACAACAGCATTTCCCAATTTGATAATGGGATACTGAGTTCATATCTGTGGAAATGCAGCCACAGATTTTTGGATTTTGACCAGATGTTCCAAAGATAAACCCATTCTGTGGACTACTTTAGATTTTCCTTCCTTAAATGCAATTAGTTGTGTGTCTGCATCCACTGAAATACATTAAACCAGGATTGTCAGACTTTGCAACCTAAGTCAGGATTTGCTGAACCTGCTTGAGCTTTACTACAAACACTGAAGAATAATTCCTATATTTCTCATCAGGAAAATGAATTAATTTTTTTCCTACATTCCTCCTACAGACATCTTTTGTCTCCTTTATCTCCCTCCTTTGCTTTTCATTAATAAAGAAAATATCACTAGGAGCCTTTCCCCACAGATACATACAGAAGAACATAGAATAAACCTGACTTTACAGACGTAAATACCAATGATGCCAAGCTAATGAGAACACTCTGTGAAATGTATCAGAAGAAGAGCATGGCAGAGGTGAGTTACAGTTTATTCTTAATTAACATTCGTGTGTTGTAGACCTGTAAATAAGTAACAGCAGCATCAGAATTATAACTTGTAGTGTTTGTGCTCTATACCTCTAGAAGTGTTAGCAATTCTAAGTAACTTTTTATCATTTTGCCTTACTGATTTCCTCTGCACACTTTTACTTAAAATACTGTAAAATGCTGATGAAAAGAAATGTACAGTCTGCGAGAGGATTATTAAACATCATTGATTTTTTTTTTCCTTAAGATGGAGGCATAACTGCAGTGTCAAAAATAAGTATCATGAATGGCTAGTTCTGCAGTCTAGCAGAGAATTCAATCAGACGATTTGACTATTGGAGCACTTTAAAGAGAACACCTAGTGTTAAAAGCAAGGATATCTAGCGACTCCTTCAGTTCACACTTAGAATATCTCCCAGTAAAAATGCAGAGAGCTGCTTTTTCTTCTATTTACTATTTCATTTATTCTCTTCTACTGGTTTCTATTTTTTCATAATCCAAGGAGAAATAAAACCAACCCACGTGAACACTGTGAAAGTTCATTGCCTCTCTCCCTGGTGTTGCTGAAATAAAGGATGTGATTTAGATACGGTTTCAGTGCTCAGGTGCAGCTTGCAGTCTAACGGGATTTTTTTTTATTTTTTAAATTTTGTTTTGGTGAGAAGTTTTGAAAATACAATATTCGTCGTCAGGTTCAGCACATTAAACAATACATGAACTGTGGACAAAGCGACTCGTGTTACCAGTTTGATTCTCTAAGCTCTCTTATAAAAAAACAATACAGCTACCTGTAATCTCAGCCCAACAGGGCACCTAACTCACGGAGGCGTTTAGAACTGGAATCACAAAACAACTTGTGGTTAATTCATTCCTGTTACTATTAAACACTCAGCAGCCCACGCTGCAGCCCCTGGTCTGACGCCTGAAGCTCGCACCGAGTTTCCTTCCCCCCGTCAGCCCCCGGCGGCCTCAGCACCGCGGACAGCGCCCGGAGCGGCCCCAGCGCCCCTTCAGCACCGCGGACAGCGCTCCCGGCCGCCCCCCGCTTCAGGGGCCAGAACGCCGGGGGGGTTTCACCCTCTCCACTCATCCCACAGCGAGGAAAGGAAATTAAAATCTGTTATCGGCTTCTTTAGAGATATGTATTATGCCCTCTATTATATTAGCTAGGCAGCTATTTTATGGTATTTTATGGGTTCAGAAGAAGCACCGATGTCCTCCTTATCTACTATCAGACATCACCTAATGCTCTGTATTAACATTCCTCCTCCTTCTTTCAAACCCTAGCTCCCACCTTGAAAAAAAAAATCGTAGTTAGCCCATCTTGAGAAATATTTTCTCAAGAATACAAGTCCCTTATATAAAAAAATCAAATCTTACAAGATATCAGATGTTTAGAGCTCAATAAATTTTTGGTGACTGAAGATCACTTATAGACTATATAACTGACTAAAGCCTCAGTCTTCCCCACCCTAGACTCCTTTTCTGTTATTTAGACTTTAACTCCACTTCTTCTTCATGAAAAAGAAAATAATACCTTTTTGCATCCTCCAGACTGATTTAAACGTGAAAACAGGTAAATAGTCTTAGTGCCTTCAATATTTCTTTCCCTGTGAGATGTACAATTCAAAGTCTGGAAATCCCTAATAAAATGTCATGGTAGATAAGCTGGTCTTCTGTTTTGAGATCTTGTCACCACTGTTACACAGCTCTTTTCATATTAAAGTCTGTATGAAACTGCCCTCTCCACTTCATTGATCATCAGCTGGGAAATCTACAATTCCTTGGATATATGTTTTGATTTGTTTGGTCATCTACTGTAGACGTGGTGGTAACACATCTCCAATACACTAGGACATCTTTAATACACAGGGCTCTGTTCAAGTGTAGCTGATATGAAAAATAGTAATCCAGCTATAGACAGGGGAAGAAGGAGAGACAGTCTGAGGCCTTACATCTTTTCTGGGTAATAAAAACCTACTGCAGTTTTAGCTGTGTGTCAAGTATAAATGGTGTACATTATGTACATAATGTTTCATTTGGAAAGGGGAGATATGTGATTCTGATTACCTTACTATATCAGGAGCTTTTCCCATCAGATCTAATTTTTATGTGCTGTTATCATTATAAAAGTTAACCCAGTTCCAGCTAGCTGCCACCTACTGGGATGTATAGTTTTATCATATTACTTTAAAAAGGAATGGGCTTTTATTTTCAGGTCATAGCTATGCCTCTAAGAACAGATAGTGAGGTTTTTATATCACGTAATCTACTATTTTGACCTCTCACAACAACAGCTGCTATAAATTTAATGTATGTACAACATATGGTCCCCCAAATGTTTCTCGGACATTTTTTACCAAATCCTTGCAAACGTTTCGGATTCACATGCCACCACAGTCCTCCTGCTGTTGCAATCTGGTGTGAGGAGAGCCACAGCTTACTGCAACACCTGACCAGCATCTCTAGATCTCTAGAATCAAGTATTGCAGCTTTGCTGACAAAGCAGTAACACCCTTCTAAAACGTTTGCCAAAGTACTCAAATGAATGTTGATATTATCATTTAAATCAAATTGCGGCCCACTGGCACTTCACTCCCACCAGCTATAAAAAAAGCCCCGTAGGTCCTTCTCTGTTTGTTATTATCTCAGTCCAAATTTACAACCAAGTTTCTGCTGTGCCAAAGATTAATGACATTTTAAGATGGTAATTAATTTTTAGCTAGTGGAAAGACTTGTATTCTAATTAATGAAGTGAGTGTGCAATAGACTTTCTTGTTCCGGCACTTTTGAGTATCACAGCAATGCACTTTCCTAGCAAGTTTTAAGCAGCAAAAACAAATACTTCTGACATGATCTACAGATCAGCCTTTGGTCCCTTCAGCTTCCTTTGGGGTTTGGGAAGCTGTGCAAAATTTTTGGAGGAAAATGATGATGCTTTATCCTTTTCCTGCTGTATTGCCCCAAAAGTTTCTAAGGAGAATGGGAAGAGAGGTTTCCATTACAATCTATTCATTCCTTCTCAGTGCACGCAAGGCTCTTGCTATCATGCCTGCACTCCGTAGGCAGGATGGCTCTTGCTTTCCAGAGAGTGTCAGCGCCCTGGCTACTTTAGCGATGGATGCTCCCCCAAAGAATGCTGATTTTGTTCAGAAATAAATGACAGGGCTGCCGATAAGCCGAAAGGGGGACTGTCAGCGCCGTACGGTGGAGCCGGGTAGGGGCAGGGGGAGACCTTACGGAAATACAGACTGCTGTCCACCCACAACTCTAGCGAAGTTAGAGCCCGGTTCTCACCTCCGCTCCCCCACGAGAGCGGGGGGCACATCCTCACTGCAGCCGGCTCGGCCCCCCTGAGCCCGGCTCTGGAGCACCGCTCCGGCTGCGGGAGGGAGCCCCGGGCCACCGGGAGAGCCCCGGGAGAGGGGCATCGGGGGGCTGCGCTGCCCTGGCCTCTTGCTCCCCCTTCCCACAGCTCCACTTTCAGCGTGGGGACAGCCGCGGCTCTGACGATGAGGAGCAGCGATGGAAGGAAGACAGGAAGCCGACAGGTCTGCTTTCCCCACAGCGAGGGACAGACCCGGGCGGCAACAGCGCTCGGGTCGGCCGGCTCAGCGCCCGCCTTTGCCCCGAGACAGCTGGCCGAGAGCCATCGTGGTGTGCAGCCCTCGGCACGACGCGGCCACGGAGCATCCCCCGCCACCCCCGGCCCCCCCGCAGCCCCTCGCAGGCATGCACCCCCTCCGGCCGCGGCGGCCAGCCGGAGACCCGGGACATCCTACCTTGAGTTGCGGGAGGGGAATCGGGGAGGGAGAGGAAGGCGGAGGCGGGGGAGGAAGGGCGGCGGCAGGACGCCGGGGACAGCCCGGGCTGCGGTGCAGCCGGCGTCCGGGCACCACTGACGGCGGCGGCAAGCGGGGAGGGAGGGAAGGAGGGAGCGAGGGAGGAGGGAGAGCGAGAAGGAGGGAGGGAAGAAGGGAGGGATGGAGGGAAGGGAGGAAGGAGGGAGATCCGCCTCTCTTCGGGAGCGCTGCACAGCGCCCTTTAAAGGAGCAGAAACCGCTTTCTCTACGGCCGCCGCTGCCGGCTCCCCGCACGGCCAAGTGTCGCCGGTGCCCGCCGGCCAGCGCTGGGCGCAGGGATTTCCCCCCGCGCTGTCTCCCCAAGAGCCCGAACTCGCCTTGCAGCGAGTATTCTCGGCATTAACAGTCCAAGCTCCCAACTGGGGTCCCCGAGCCCCTTTTGTGAATGCGGAGAAAGTGGGAGCTGGATCCTGCCGCCTGTGAAACAGCTTCAGAGACCCCGGCCCGTCCCCATTCTTCCCCCTGGATGCGGGGGTGAGTGGAGTGCTCCTATCTCAGACTGCGGGGGTGCTCGAAAAAGCTTGGGCTGCTTCCCGACTTGTTGTCATGCTGAAACCCGCTTGTCCCCACTCCTTCCTTGAACTAGCGGGTACTGAGCTCGGGCACTTCCCCGGGCTGGAAGAGGATTCAGGGAGTGGGTGACCACATCTGCCCCAGCAGCCCCCCTCCCTCGGCCCCCGACTCGCTCCTAAGCGTCAACTCCGCGGGAGGGGGCTCTGGTAAAAGGACCGAGGCCTCCCTGGTGAATTGGGCTGGGAATTGTGTCGTCCGCCCCGCCTTGCGGGAGTGCCAATGATTTCCTCCCTCGCCCAGCCGCACTCGCCCCCGCAGCGCCACAGGCGTCTCTTCGCCTCTTGTGAGCTTCTCCCGATTTTGTTTCGTGACTCGGACATGCCTTGAAGAGCTGCAGGATTTCCCCTGCGCCTCCCCCTCCACAGTGCCGCCTTCTCGAGGTCTGACCTCCAGGCAGATGTGATGAGCAATTTGACAGGAAAATCCCTGACTCCTCGCCTTTCCCTCACGGAAAATTCTAGTTCCCGTATCCGCCGGGGGAGCGCAGCCCGTACCCTACAAAGGATGTTCAGGCGTTGCCCCGCTTCATCTGCCCAAGAGACAAACCGGCTATCAGAGGCTGGAGGGGAGGGCTCAAAAAGCGCTGAAGAGATGGGGTTGGAGCGGGTGGGGGTGGGTGACTGAAAAGCTCCTATAATTAAATAAACAGCAGAGTTGTTGTGCGAAGTAAATAAATAGTCAATGATCCCATTGTGGAGACGAGAGCAGGCGGCACAGATTGCGACGGGCTCGCAGCGATTGGGCTCCGGCCGCTGTGACTTGCAGCTTAATAGGTCCCACAGCACATCCCTTAATTACTTGCAGCACACTTCCATGGCCGACAAAAAACTCATTAGTCAGTTCATTTGCCCGAAGCGGTAATGGAGATAACTCTTGTTAAAAGCAAACGCGGTGCTAAAGCAAAGCGCTCCATGCCACCCAGAGCGGCGAGGGGAGCTGGGCAGGAGCTTCTCCAGGACTCCAGGATTCTGCGGGTCGCGGGTGGAAAACTGAGAGGAAGAACGTCGTGGAAAGCAGAGCTCTGTGCGATCCTGCAGGAGGGAAAGGAGTGGCGGGGATCGCCACAGGAGTAACCAAGTCATCTCCACGGTCTCCGGGGAAGGCAAGGCAGGTTAACGCTGCAAGACCAGCCACAGGGTGGGAAGTGTATGAGGTCGGATGAGCAAACGCTTGTGCAAACACTGATTCGGTGATTTCGTCCCTTTTTGTTTTATCACTGACTGCTTTTGCATTGCTACTTACTATCCAGAGTTTTTTGACCAGAGAACAAACAGAGAACAAGTCAAACATAAAAAATACATGAGTCAAAGCTGTCACTCTAGGATGACAGAAAGGAGGGCAGGGGAAGAAAAGGGGTATGGTTCTGACATTGTGGATGGATTGTGTAATACCCTCATGTATTCACTTCAACTCAACTACACTGATGTAGAGCCTTTTCCCTTGTTGCCTGGGTTACATTTCTGTCCAGACATTAAATTCTCAATGCTTTCCTCAGCCAACAACAGTTTACCAAGAATTAGGTCCTCTCTGACAAGAAAGAGGTTCCTAGTGCCATCAGTGCTGTTGTCATTATCTATTGTTATCTACTATTCAGGGTATTTAGGGACTTTGCATATGTCTCGTTAGTACTCAAATGAGGGTTATTGGAGCAGGAATGTTGGATGAACAAGCATAAGATCACGCTGCAAGTCAGGGACATAATGGGAAGACAGTCTGTGATTGTAATTTCTCAAGTGTTGACTATTGCAAAACTCCTTCATTTCAATACTGACAGAACTTCTCATGTTTCTTCCCAGTTACACTGAAGGAACTTTGAACTTTATCAGCATCGACCACTAGAAAGAAACAGGAAAGTACAGACTCAGTTTGTCAGTATCCAAAATGAGATGTACCAGAAAATTTGCTACACAAGGTCCTGGACTCTAACAAGAAAAAACAAAGCCAAACAACACAAAAACAATAGCAAACAACTAAAACAAAACCAAACAAAAAAGACAATAAACAAACAAACAAAATCTCATAACCACCCCAAGCCAGCCCCCAAACTTCTTTACTTGCTTTCTTGTTTTATTGTTGACTATTTTAATTGCAATTTATAAATTTATCAAATAAGAATATACATGTCAACTTTACATCATCCATTTAAAACAATTTTTATAAAAGCCAATAAGAACTTACCCCATTAAAAGTAAGCACATCTGCAAAGATCTTTGTGAGGATGGTTTTTGAGTTTGTTTGGTTTTCTCAGTATTATTTTTTAACCTTTTAAATGAAATTATCTGTGTTTATTATATTCCCATTAGATGCATTTACACCTCAGAGTTAGGAGTAATGTAAACTTGTAGCCTAATTCCTTTAAGCCTTGCAAAATTAAATTACCAAAGGATGACAGATTCATCCTTCCCCCACAGAAATCTATCACTAGTACCCAGTAAATCTGAATATTTAATACTTTTTTCTTTCCTGCTTTGTCCTTCCATTAGGTCAGCTATGATAACACACACACTGACAGAATTTAAGATCTTTCAAAAGAGTTTCCATCAAATATTTTTTAAAATGTCAGATCTACAAAGACCCCCAACCAACAGAAACAACTATATTTTAGGGATTCTGGATGCTGTGGCTTAGCAACCCTAAACAGATTCTGTCCAATTTAATGACCCAAATCTGAGTACTGACATTTGTTCAAGATGTGTGGTTCACAGCTTGTGCCCTGCCACAGAAAACAGTGAAGAAAACCTTTGGGATTTCAGATTGCAGACAACTGAGTTCTATCTGCCAGCCATTGTTTTAATTTTTTTTTTTTACCCTCTTGCAGTTGTGAACAATATTGTGTGGCCTTTCAGGAAATCTGTCTCCTGCTATGACAAAGATTTTTGGTACATCTCATGGGCAAAGAAAGAATTATCCTCCCAAATGTTGCCTTTTCACATCTTTTAATAATGACCTTGTATACTCATATTCTTGGTGAAGCTGACTGCATGTATCAAGCCATGTCCCTTCAAACAGAAGAATGAGTCAAAGCAGGATGGAATAAAAACAAAAAATCTCTCTAAAAGAAACAAATCCCTTTTCTTGTATCATCCACTTGAGGGAGACAGTGAGCCATAGGTTATATCCATACGTCAGTTTGATGGATCACATACAAAATTGATGAGGAATTTGTACCTCATCAATAACCTGTGTTATTCATGTGTTATTGCTAATTTTAAAAGTACCAACCTGTGTGACATAGCAGGCATGATGTTTCTCATATTGCTGCATCAATCTGTACATCAGACAGTTTTCTTCTCTTTTCTTCTTGCCTAGCAAGATGGAATCATCCAATGACTTTTGCTGATAGCAACTTCCAAACTCTTTCAAGATGATATCCCATAACTCTAGAATTAATATCTTGCATTCAGACTACCTTACCTTTTTCAAGACTTACATTTGACTCACTTTGATTTTGAAATCACTTTTTGATTTAAGAGATATACAAAGCGTATTACATTACTAAGAGGGCTAAAATAGACACTACCAGAAGCCATAAAAGAATAAAGCTTAACCTGTGTCTGAATGCCTTTGGACATACATACATGGCTAGGAAGTTTTATTTTACTTGGTGCCAGTCATGATGCATTGTACAATATTCTCCAACAGATTAGCCCTCCCGGGAAGACTTTCATGGCTTAGCTGTTGTTATTGTTAGAAAATATTCTGATGTTTGCCTCAAACAGCCTTATGGCAATTGATAATCATCACTCCTACCTGCAGACAACATAAAGACAAGTTTTTATTCCTCTCTCTAAAAGTGTCTTCTGAACAACAGAATACATATTATGCAGGAAGCTAAATGTCACTCCTTTCTTAAAGAAGGCCAAAGGAGGACAGGGAGCTCCAGACTAGTCAGCTTCATCTCAGTTCCTGCAAAAGTGATAGAGCACCTAATCCTGAAAACCATTTCCAGGCACATGTAGGACAGGAGGAGTCAGCATAGATTCACCTAGGGAAAGCCAAGTTTGACCAAATTGACAAACTTTTAAAATTAGGTGACCAGTTTGGTGGATGAGGGGAGAGCACTGGATATTGCCTACTGCACTGTTTCCTATAGGATTCTCATAAAGAAGTTGATGCATGGGCCAGATGAGCAGTGGGTGAGGCAGGTGGAAAACTGGCTCAAGGACCAGGCCCAGAGGATGATAGTCAGTAGCATGAAGTCCAGTGGGAGGCCAGTAAATAGCAATGTACACCAGTGGTCATTACTCTGTCCATATAATTCCACATCTTCATTAATAATGTGGATGATGGAGCTGAGTGCACCTTCATCCAGTTTGCCAATGACTCCAAACTGGGAGGAGCAGCTGATACACCAGAGGACTGTGCTGCCATCCAGGAGGATGCTGACAGGCTGGAGGAGTGGCCTGACAGGAATCACATGAAGCTCAACAAAGGCGCACCTAAGAATGAACAACCCTC